GTTAGCCTGCTGGTGGGGGTCAAACTCACATTGCAGTGGCTGGCAGTAGAGCTCTGAGGCTTTAATCCCTGTGCCACCAGGAAGGCCTCTCTATTGCTATATTTTTAAAATAGGGATTCCTGATACTGATAAAGTCATTCTAATGGATACAGATCCCAGAATACAGATTCCAAAGTTACATTTCTAGAGGATAATTGATTAAAAAAAAAAAAGACAAATGGAATTAACTGGTCTTAAGGTTCTGAATAGAACTCTAATATAAAGTTACTTTGGGGTCAGAAACAACAGATCTCTAATACTCTGTCTGAAAGTTGGCAGCAACTGGTAAGACAGAGGATAGGTACTTTTTAAGGCACCAGGTATTTTCAGTTACCTCATCTCTGGAAGTTGACATCTATGAGTTGGTATGGGTAGAAACTAAAAATTAGGCTGTCTGAAAAATGTGATAATTCATATGCCTTAAAATTCACCATTAAAGTGTACAGTTCTGCAGTTTCTAGTATTTCACAAGTGTACAACTACCACCACTATCTGTTTACAGAACATTTTCTATTCATAAGTTGATGAGCATTTGCTTTGTTTCTATTTTTTGGTAATTGAGTAATGCTACTATAAGCATTCCTGTGTAACTTTGGTGTGGATATATGTTTTCATTTCTCTTTGGTGTTCATCTAAAAGTGTAAGTGCTGAAGGCCCTCCCTGCTGGTGCATCAGGTTAAAGCACAGCACTAAGAAGCTAAAGCAACTTCAGCACGAGTTCCATCCCCAGCCTTGGAGGTGACCCACATGGCGCAGCAAACTTCTCCTGACCTGCCCGCTGCTCCCCTCAGCAGTGTACTTCATCAGTTGGCCTGTTCTGCTCCCACTCTTGTCACTGGTGAATCCTCTCACACCCCATACCTCTGGCCAGTACCCCAGTTCTGTATGCATAAATAAATAAATCTTTAAAAAATGAAGTATAATTGTTGAGTTATAGGGGAGCTGTTTAACCATCTGATGATCTGCAGACTGTTTCCAAGCCATTTATGTTCCTACCAACAGTATATTATGTTTCTAGTATCTTTATTTTCTTTGCAGCAGTTATCATTGTCTGTTTTGTACTATAACTATCCTGGTGGGTGTGAGGTGCTAGCTCATTGTGGTTTTGATCAACATTTACCTAGTTGCTGATTGATATTGAACATCTTTTTATGCATTATAGGACTATCCTCTTTGGAGAAATGTCTGTCCAAACCCCTTTCTTAAAAATTTAGTTATTTGTCAGTGGAATGTGGCTGTCACCCCCCAGGGTGACAGCTGTGAAGGAAATGGCAAAATCATTGCTGAGCCTTAGGGTTATCCGTCATCTTGTTTAGCAATGTAATTTTTTTTTTAACATTTATTTATTCATTCATACAGAACTGGGGTACAGGCCAGAGATGCAGAGGGTGAGAGGATTCACCAGAGACAGAGTGGGGAGCAGAACAGGCCGCAGGCCGACTGATGAAGTACACTGCTGAGGGGAACAGCGGGTGGGTCAGGAGAGGTCTGCCGCGCCATGTGGGTCACCTCCAGGGCAGGCAGGTATCGAACTCATGCGGAAGTGACTTAAGCTTCTCAGTGCTGTGCTTTAACCTGCTGGGCCACCAGGGAGGGCCGTAAAATGTTTTTAAAAATTAATATTTAAATCCAAAACAAAGATAACAGAGCCATTGTCTAGGGTTCACTGCAGAGCGCCTCTAAAGATAAAATGGCTCTGTCGGCTTGGGCTGGCCTCACACTGAGCTGACACCTGGTGTATGTTGCAACTTGGGCAACTGGACCTGATCCCCAGAAACTTCTCAATAGCCCCCCCCCAAATGCAAGCCCTGATTTTTCTAATCTTTTAAAAGGCAGTTGCTAGTGCTGATGTCTTATGTGTTGAATGTACATGTATTTATGTGCAAAAAAATAAGATTTTTTTCTGAAAAAAAATTTAGTTATTTGTCTTTTTGTTGTTGAGGTTAAGAGCTCTGTATATACTCTGCATACTAAGCCATCATTGTATATAAGATTTGCAAATTTTTTAAAGCCTGTGACCCACTTTGAGTTAATTATTTTGTATATGCTGTGGTGTGGAGACCCAACTTCCCTCATTTACATGTGGCTATCCAGTTATCCCACCAGCATGTGTTGAAAACACCACTTCCCCCCATTGAATTGCCTTGACATGCTCGCCCAAAGTTAATTGACAGTAAATTACAGCATTTATTTCTAGACTGAATTCTAATCCATTGATGTATCCATTTTTACTACATTTGATTACTGTAGCCTTTGTAATAGTTTTTGCAGTTGGAAACTATGCAAATCCTCAAGATTGTTTTGTCTATTCTGGGTACCTGAATTTCCATGCATATTTTAGAAATTTTACCTTGCCTAATTTTTGCAAAATGGACCATTGGGATTTGAATCTGTAGATCAGTTTGGGGGAGTACTGTCATCTTAATAGTAAGTCTTCCAGTGGGTACAGAATACATTTCCATTTATAATATTTAGATCTTTAATTTAAACAGTGTTTTATAGATATTGAGGAATGTTTCATCCCCATTAAGGAGGTTATCATAAATTGATGTGGAATTTTATCAAATACTTTCACTGAATTTTTGATTTGATAATACAGTTTTACCTTTCAGTTTCTTGGTTTGAATTACATTGCTCAATTTTCAGATGTTAAATCATCCTTGCATCTCTGGAATAAGTCCCACTTGATCATGATGAATGATGATGTATGATGATGTATGATCCTTTTAATGCATTATTGAATTTGTTTTGCTAAACTTTTTTTAAAGATATGTTTTATTTATGCATACAAGAGCAGTGGTGCAGGCCAGAGGTGCAGGAGGTAAGAGGATTCACCAGAAACAGAGTGGGGAGCAGAACAGGCAGACTGACTGAAGTACATGCTGAGGGGAGCAGCGGGTGAGACAGGAGGGGTCTGCTGCACCATAGGTCAGCTGCCTGGCTGGGGATCGAATTTGTATTGTAGTGGTTACCGATGGCTTCATAGTGCTGAGATTTAACTCATTGCACCACCAGGAAGATCCTGGATTGCTAAGATTTTGTTGAGGATACTTGCATCTATGTTCATCAGTGATATTGGTCTGTAGTTTTCTTTTTCTATACTCTTTCTTTGCTTTTCAGGGACCACATTTTGAATGACCCTCCATGTGCCCGTGGCTCATCTTCATAGGCACTGCTTCCTTCCTTTTTAAACCTTATTTATTTACTTGCTTATTTACTTACTTGGCTATTCTGTTAGCACAGTCATTCTCAACTGGAAACAATTTTGATCCCCCAGGGACATTTGGCAATATCATGAGACACTCTTCATTGCCATAACTGTAATACGGAAATCCCCAGGGAAAGGGGAGGTTCCAGGTTCTCTGCCCCACCCAAGGAAGGGGTGAGGCTGAGCAGGGAGGAGAAGCTAGAGAAGACTGGAGGAAAGAAGGAGATACATGCTTCCTGGTGGCACAGGGGTTAAAGTCTCAGTACTATAAAACTATTGCCAGCCCCTGCAACATAAGCTTCATCCCAACTGTCTAACTGTCTTGACTGCTGCTCCTGTCAGCAATTATTTCAGTGGATCTGCCTGTTCTGCTCCCCATTCTTGCCTCTGGTGAATTCTCTCACCCCCCGCACCTCTGGTCTATAACCCAGTTCTTGTATTCATAAATAAATAAAATAAAGATCTTTGTTTAAAAAAAAAAGTGGGGGCGCATGGAGCAGACATGGAAAGAAGCTGCACTTGCATCTGGGCCTTGGGCGAGTACTAGGAACTCAGGGGACGTGGAAAGAGACACTCAAGACAGAGATACGAGTGAGAGACCCTTGGGGAGGCTGACAGTGGTTGCCTTTTTCTTGACTTGGGTTTCTTGACTTCCATACTGGTCTGGCCCTTTCTGTCCACCCCTTTTTAAAAATAATATAATAGTTTATATCATTTTGTGCCTTTTTCCATCTCAGTTATAATCCCCGTGGGCTTCCCATCACCAAATCACCCTGTGCCATCACCATAGTCCAGTACACTTCCCTCCCCCCACCGTTTTTGATCCCATTCCCCACTCCACCCCCATAAAATGTCTCTGGTATATAGTTGTTCATTTTTATTATTATTTTCTTACCTGGTCGACCTTTATACTACTGCTATGAGTGAAACCATGTGGTATTTTTCATTTTCTTACTGGCTTATTTCACTAAATATGATCTTTTCCAGTTCCATTCATGTTGCTGCAAAAGACATGTGGTTTTTTTCTTTTTTTGGTTGCTGAATAATATTCCATTGTGTATATGTACCACATCTTTTTAATCCAGTCATCAACTTTTGGGTATTTGGGTTGTTCCCATGTCTTTCCAATTGTAAATAAAGCAGCAATAAACATAGGTCTGCCTCATTTTTTATGGGTTCTCATGAGAAGGTGAGATAGACTTGTGGTAAGCTTTTGGGTCTTAGTCCCACTTTGAGCCAACCTTCTTTGGCTGGGCATTTACCCACAAGGGGATGGGAAACTTTGGGTGCTTAATTTGGTGACTATATTCTTTCTCTTCCCTCTTATTGCACATTGATTGTATTAAAGTTATTTTTTACTGAAGATCTTACACACCAGAGTATGTTTTGTCTTTATGTGGTGAATGGCAGAATCCATTTTAAGCAAGCAGGGTTGGGGTCCTGAATGTTCCTTCACCTTGCCCTATAACATAACTGGGTAAGGATTTGTGCTGCTGGTGTCTGGTAGAAGTTGGCCAGGGATGATACTAAGCATTCCACAATGCATCAGTGTAACTCCTTACAGAATTATTGAGCTAAAATACCAATTCTACTGAGGTTGACATGTTAATTGCTGTTTTTGTTAGTAGCTCAAAATCCTTCCCAGTGCAATTAGTCAAGTCCATAGCTTATGAAGTGAAAATGGAGCTAAAGAGACTTAAATGTTTTTGAAATATCACCTATAGACATAATACTTGTTGTCAGATCTCTTAGGTCTCATGGCAAAATGGAAGATTTTACTGAAGATAAACCTCTGGGTACAGGGCCCATCTATTTCTTTGATCAGGTAAAATCAGTTCAGTCTCACTAAATTGTAATTTATATGTTCTTTAAATTCACTTTTGACCAATATTTTTCCCTACCTTTCACTCAGAAATATCTCTTTCATTTTAGATGAAACCAAAAAGGAAAAGATGGGAAAAGACAAAGCATGAAGACCACATCCCTCATCCAATATACAGCTTAAGACATAAATATAGGTAAAACATTTAGATAGCCTTCAGCTGCTGGAGTTACTTTAGGCAATTTCAAAGAGTTATAAGGTGCTCAGTATCAACCCTCCCTTATTTCTTTTCCCCAAGAAACCATAGAACTTTGCTTTAGTTAGGTTAATGGTTGATTAAGACAACCTTGATCCCAGTTTCCTTGCTATTCCATAGCAAAACCAGCCCCACTCTTGCCTTGTTGCTATGAAAAGATCTGATCAGACCCCAAGCTGTTCAGATGCCTCTTCTAGAACTGATAAATGCCACCTCCCCACCCTATTGTAAATAACAATAGACATAGGGGTGCAGGCGTCCTTTTGAATTAATGTTTTTGCATCTTTTGGGTAGATACCTAGGAGTGGGATTGCTGGGTCATATGGAAGCTCCATTTTTAGCAGTTTGAGAAACCTCTGAACAGCTTTCCATAGTGGTTGGGCCAGTTTGCATTCCCACCAGCAGTGTAGGAGAGTTCCTTTTTCTCCACATCCTTGACAACATTTATTGTTGCTAGTTTTAAGAACAATTTTCTAAACACTGTTTTTTGGCTACCTGATATATGAGTATGGAATTATTTACTTACTGCTATTGTATACTAAAGTGTTCTTCTCAATATATCTTGTATCAAAATATTATGTAATATTAGAAGTTCTATGCATATATGTTTCATATCTTTTTTATTCCTTCAGTTGGATTTATGGAAGTCAAGTTACTAGGTTAAAGAATATAAAATATCTTTAAGATTCATATTTTTTTATAGTCACACAGAGAATACAAAATCTGAAGTAGCAGAGGACAAAAGAGTATCTACAGTAAACTCGTCTGAGGAGAACTATGAGTTCCACATATCTACCATCTCACAATTCTATAGCATTTCCAAGTTTTCTCCTCATCTTAAATCTGCCAAAGTATGCCTGCAAAAGAGTCTACTTGAAGAATACAAACTTACTGCTTCTGAAATACTGAATGAACTTGCAGAGATATTGCAAAAATATGTTGAATATAATATTACTTTCCCTGTGGGAGTTGTAAATCTTATAAATTACAGTTGGTCTGAGCTTACTGAAGGTGCTTACACTTATAAGAGTAGAAACAAAGTTCCAAGGTTGAAGAAACACAGTACTGTGCATAAAGATCCCAAATCTATGCCTATAGCTGAATTACAGAAGTACCACATCAACAGCTCTTGCAGAGAAGAATGTCATAAGGAAAACAATCTGGTGCAAGCAAAACGTGCATCAGGTAAGTCTGTGGAAAAATATGTAAATATACATTATTAGACAAATAATCCTCTAGGTTTAAAAAAAGGAGTGAAAGCAGCAAATGAGATCTTTACAAAACATTATGTGATATTTAGTTTGTGTTGACAAATTTATTTATTTTATTGTTTAAAAAGATTTTATTTAGGCCCTCCCTGGTGGCACAGCGGGTTAAAGCACAGCATTGAGAAGCTAAAGCCACTTCCGCATGAGTTCGATTCCTGCCTGGCCCGGAAGTGACCACGTTGTGTGGCAGACCTCTCCTGACCCGCCCACTGCTCCCCTCAGCAGTGTGCTTCTTCAATCTGCCTGTTCTGCTCCCCACTCTGTCTCTCGCCATCCCTGAGCCTCTGGCCTGTATCCCAGTTCTGTATGCGCAAATAAATAAATCTTTAAAAAAAAAAAAAGATTTTACTTATGCTTACAGAACTGGGGTACAGGCCAGAGTTGTGGTGGGTAAGAGGATTCACCAGAGACAGAGTGGGGAGCAAAACAGGCAGATCTACTGAAATACACTGCTGAGGGGAGCAGCGGGCGAGACAGGAGAGGTCTACCATGCCATGTAAGTCAGCTCTCTGGCCGGGGATCGAACTCGTGCTACTGTGGCTTCCTACAGCTTCATAATGCCGTGCTTTTACCTGTTGTGCCACCAGGGAGAACCCATGTTTACAAATTTTTGAGATTTACTTTATTTACTTATGCATACATAAGCTAGGGTGTAGTTCAGTGGTGCAGGAGTTGAGAGGATTCACCAGAGTCAGAACAGACAAATTATGAAATACGGTTCTGAGGGGAGCAGCAGGCAAGACAGAAGTGGTCTGCTGTGTCCTGTGGGTCAGCTCCCTGGCCAGGGATCAAACTCATAATGCAGTGGCTGGCAATGCCTTGATAGTGCTGAGACAACCCCTGGGCCACCAGGGAGGCCCTGTGTTGATTTTAAAATAAATTTATAAATGCACATCAAGAGAAAGATACAAAAATATATAATGCTTTACTTAAATAAAATCAAATATTATGCTTCATTCATGTGACATGAAATCTGCCTCAGAGGGTCCTACAATTACTCTTATAGTACCACTATCTAACAGAAATACGATGCCAGACACACTTGTATTATTTTAAATCGAACGTCTTAATTTTAAGATAATTACAAACCCACATGTCGTTATAAAAGATACTACAGTGAAACATTTATGGGAAATTTTGCTAATCCCCTGATGTGAACATTTAAATATTAACAGTTGAATTTTCTGTTGATAATTATCTAGCAAAATGTTCTCATTTGATTCTCCTTCCCCCCTTCTCATCATGTTCCCTCTTCTTTTTCTCTAGTTTTTGTCAAACAAATACCGAATTCCCAGACCTCCCAGAATAGCAGCATACCTGCTGTCATCCACTTTTCACTGAGATCCAAGACCTGTTTAGAAAATGGTAAGACCCCTTCACTCATTCAAATTAGGGTGGACTCTGATGAAGCATCAGAGTGAGAATCATTTCTACTCCTTGAAATTGGAAATTCTCGCCTCACCATTCTCTTATGAGACCTTCAATTAGAACCAGATGTTTAAGTTCATAAATTCTAAGTTAACTTTCCAAAGACATCCCCCTCTGATTCAGCCCTCCCTGATTTCTCCACTCTTGTACACTGGGAGTTTCATCTTCCTGGCTCTGAGAGACAGGCTTGGGCAATAGTGACATGCATGTCCCTGAAAGAGCATCTCAGGAATTTTCTGAGACAAATCACACACTGGACTGAAAACCAGGGCTTGTATGTCAAAGACAAAATTGGTTCTTAAATTGTTTAAATCTTATAAAGGAGACCTCCCAAGGTTGACTATGTTTTTACAAATCGAGGGGATCCTGTCTATCGTGGAATGAGATTGTCAAAGGGACAAGGTGTGAGTTGCTAGGAAAAGGGAAAGTTTTCATTCCACCGAGTGCAAGCAGAAACTAGCTAATACTACCTACTGGTGGGTGATGAATAGGAAGGTAGGCTCACTGCCTTCGGCCTCCTAGATTTGCTTTCTTGACCCTTTCATTATAGACCCAATAACATTAAAACTGTGAAATGAACAATAATGTAAATAGATATGTAAATTTTAAAAAACTGTTGGAAGGTTTTGCTTTTGGAAAATATGCTTATGGGCTAAATATCTCTTCTGTACCTCCCCACTTCCTCACATATACTTCTGAATTTGATGTATTAAGGGACCAAAATTTAGGACTGGAACTATTTCATTCAATACAGATATTGAGGAATTATGCCTTGGGGCACATGATAACGGAGAAATAACCAAAAAAAAAAAAAAAAAAAAAAAGAAATCATTTAAACTCCAGTCAGGCCTTGATTTCTTGTATGCGATATTACAAAAAAAAAAAAAAAAAAAAACCAACCAGAGGAATGAATTAAATTATAAGGTAACTAGAGAATTAAGCATGAAAATATCTGGTAATGGAATTGGCTGGAAATGGAATTGATTGGCAGAGGTGGGGGGGCTTGAGGGGGTTGGAGGGAAGAGTGCAGGCAGTGCTGAGAGGAATAACGGACAAGACTAGACTTTTATGATAGAAAAATGTTAAAGCTGAGAGGCTTTAGAGAGCATCTCCTTCAGTTCTTTTAGAGATGAGAAATCTGAAATCTGGAGTTGTCCTGTACCCAGACTCTGTTTAGTGGGAAAGTCAAGTATGGGATCCAAGAATTTCTGACAAAATGTTCTCTCTGAGAGACAGAATTCTGTCCTTAGGCTGGAGGATGCTGAAGAATCTGATGTGCAGGCCCCCAGAGTATGTAGATGGAATCTTGAAAGGCCACTGATACTACAGATGTCACCATCCTGGTCTAATTGCTTGGGATTATAACTATGATCTGTTTTAGTGCTAATCTCCTTCAGGAGAGTTTTTTTTCCTTTCTTTTTTAATTGAAAAACTATTGGTTTACAACATAGTACATGACCTAGGAGAATAGGTTAGAATTCCTCAGATGCATAGTCCTTCAATAGAGGCCACTGGGCACCCTACCCAGCCATCTGGTAGCCTCAATTCTGTAGTCATGTTTGTAGGGTTTGTTTTGTGAGTTCCTAACTTTTCTTTCTCTATATCCCACAGATCCCACATATGAGTAAAATCATCTGGTATTTGTCATTTTCCTTCTAACTTATTTCATTCAGCATAATCCTCAAAGAGAGGTAATTTTTAAGCTGATAATTAGTTATACTTTGATATGAATAGATTTTGCTTCCATTTTCAACTATGCTTTTGCAGGCCTGACTGGACAAGATTTACCAGTGAGTATTGATTTGGTATAAGTTTTTAACTATCTCTTTTCTGTTAATACTTCTTTTTTTTTTTTTTTTTTTAGGTTGGATCTTTCAACATACCTACTCATCATCAGAAATTATGAAATGGAAGACAGCCCTCGATGTTGCAGTGAAGAGACTACAGCTGGCCATAATTCAAAGGTAGGGAGCCCTTTGCATTCTTGTACTTTTTTTTTTTTTAAAGATTTATTTATTTGTGCATACAGAACTGAGGAACAAGCCAGAGGTGCAGTGAGAGGCTTCACTAGAGACAGAACAGGGAGCAGAACAGACAGATCCTGGAAGTACACTGCTGAGGGGAGCAGTGGAGGGGTCAGGAGAGGTCTGCCACGCCATGTGGATCACCTCCCGGGTCAGGCATCGAACTCACACTGAAGAGGCTGCTGCTCGCTTGCCTTGCTGCATCCTATCCTGTTGTGCCATCAAGAGGGCCTACAGTCATGTACTTTTATGAGGGAATGATATGGTAAGTAAGCAAGAAGCCAAGTAGAGCCTATGGTATTTTGAACAAGTTACCCTGTCATTTGCCTATGATATATGTAATATGAAAAATGCATGTAGTGTGTATTTTCAAATGCTGTTAAATTCTTCAGAAATGATTTTGAATGATATCTTTGAATTCCTTTGCATGGATATAACTCAGTTTTTTAATCTTCCTCCTATTATTAAGCATTTACTTTTGCTCAGTCCTATAAACACTTCACATTTCTTTGATCCCTTCCTAAAGCTAAGTTCCTGGAAGTGGAACTTCAACAGTATAAACATTTTATTTTTAAAAGATTTATTTATTTGTGCATACAGAACTGGGGTACAGGCCAGAAGCTCAGGGGAGGCGAGAGGCTTCACCAGAGACAGAGTGGGGAGCAGAACAGGCAGATCGACGAAGTAGACTGCTGAGGGGAGCAGAGGGCGGGTCAGGGGAGGTCTGCCACGCCATGTGGTCACCTCCGGGGCAGGCGGGAATCGAACTCATGCGGAAGTGGCCTAAGCTTCTTTGTGCTGTGCTTTAACCCGCTGCGCCACCAGGAAGGGCCCAGTATAAACATTTTTAAAGGTGACAAAGTTACTGCCAAACTGCTTTCCAATAAAACGTTCCAGCTTCACATTAATGTGAGGGGAACCTTCTCAGCCACATGGCATTGAATATAGTTATTAAGGGTACTCATGTTTGCTAAATTGATGGACAAAAAATATTCTTTTTTTCAAAAAAGATTTATTTATTAATGCACACAGAACTGGGGTGTAGGCCAGAGATACAGAGAGAAGGGGTGTGAGGATTCACCAGAGACAGAGTGGGGTGCAGGACAGGCAGATTGTCTGAAATAAACTGCTGAGGGGAGCAGCAGGGTAGACAGGAGAGGTCTGCCGCGCCATGGGTTCTCCTCCCTGGTCAGGGATCAAACTCATGAAATGACTGTGGCCACCTTCATAGTGCTGTGCTTTAACCCATTGTGCCATTAGAGAGGGTCCCAAAAAATATTTTTAACCATGTGAGTCTTTGCTTACTAGATTTACCTTTTAAGTATTTACTCACATTAAAAGAAAATATATCTGTGAGCTGGGTTTTCCTAATATGTGCATTTTTTAATTCTTAATGGATATTACTGTTTTTTCTTATCTGTTCACTTAATCTGTTAAGGGTATTAATTTTTTTATTTGTAGCAATTTTTATTTCTCTAGTTCATTGTTTGCTTTTTTAACTTTATGATTAAGATATAGGTGTCTTAACATTTATTATCATACAATAATTCAATGTTTTCAGATTTTCCCTAGTGTTTTTATAACTGGAAAGACTTTACTCATTCAGAATTTAGATAGACCTACCCTATTTTTATTTGTTTTCTTTTCTACATTTCGCTGGAATTTCACTGTGTATTGATGGGAGATGGTGACCTCGCTTTATTCTCCCATGTCAGTAATAATCATAGCAACTATTTATTGAGTATTATTAATGATAGCTAAGTTTGAGTACTTGTTTATGTGAAGCACTACATGAAGCAATTGACATGCTTACATGAGTAAGATGCTGCTGTTATGTTAAGGTCAGAGAGCTGGTAAGTCGGTGAGCTTAGGTGTGTCTCACCAAAGCCTGTGCATTTATTTAACCACAATATTCTCTCTCTGAAGTCATTTATTGAATACATTCTCTGTTATCCCCTGATTTGAATTCTTAAACTGATCATATCTTTAGTTTTCAGCTATTTTAATTATTCATACTATATAATATGAGAGAGGCAAAGTATTGTGTTAAGAAAGAGACTTTGAAACTCAATTAATTGAACTGAAATCCCAGCTCCATCCATTCATGTGACTTTGGGAAAGTCACTTACTACCCCTTTGCCTCATTTTCCTTTCCTGTTAAATGGGGATAATTATAGTAGCTACATTTTAGCATTGTTGTAAAGATCCTCCTAGCACAAATAGGATGAATGTTAGTTATTACATTTTTATATCTGATATTAACTATCTGGTAGAGCAGATCTTCTTTGGGTACTCTTTCTACATCAAAGCATTGGTCAGTTTCTCCAATTTGTTCTTTCGGCAGAATTTAGAATTCATTTCTTACTTAAAAAAAAAAGAATTTTATTTATTTATGCATAGGCCATAACTGGGGTATAGGCCAGAGGTGTAGGGGCAGTGAGAGGATTCACCAGAGGCAGAGTGGGGAGCAGAACAGGCAGTGATGAAGTACACTGCTGAGGGGAGGAGCCAGAGAGACAGGAGAAGTCTGCTGAGCTATGTGGGTCACCCCCCTAGCTGGAGATTGAACTTTATTCTGCAGTGGCTGTGGCAGGCTTTGTCATGCCGCGCTTTAACCTACTGCACCACCAGGAAGGGCCCTAGAATTCTTTTCTTAAGTTTAAACAGTCCTCAAAATGATATGGAATAGGCACCATATTTTAATGAAAAGAAAGCCAAACTTGTGGGAGCATGTTTGAGAACTCTGTCTATTCTCTTTCAACCTAACATGGCTCTAAGAAATAAATTTACCTCATTGTAAAAAAATACTTTTTTAAAATGTCAAAATTAATAGATAGATAAATAAATATATTTTTGAAAAAGAATAAGGAAGAAGTGAAGTGGCTGTTGGATAAATACCCAATAATTGTCTGTTACGTATTTTAGCCCAGGATGCTATTTTAAGTCACTGTTCTCCTAGTATTAAATTAATACAGTACATTGCCTTCCATTCTGACATAGGTTGTCTGTGATAAAAAATAGAGAATTAAAAAATAAAATTAAGAATAATTAAAAATATTGAACAAACAGGCTCTTAAATTTGAGTCATACACACAGGTGCATTAGTCAACAGGTGGAGGGTCTTGTTTAAGTCTCTGAGCCTCTGTTTTGACAGCCTCTTAGGGATAGTAACATGTTTTCTGTTTACTGCAGTTAATTGTTGTGATATAAAGTACATAATATGCTTTGTAGATACTAAAACATGAAGCAAGTAAAAATAACTTTAAATAATAGTCCAATACCATCAAATATGATTTCTAGAAACAAGTAGGTTTAGAACCAAGACAAAATGTCTTGGCAGAGTAGATAGAGGAGGAAAATTTAGCCAGCACACAGCAACAGGGATGAGTAAGATGCTACTATACATGATCTGTAGTAATAAACTATGTCAAGAGAGTGCTCTCTCTCTCTCTCTCTCTTTTTTTAAGATTTATTTATTTATTCATATAGAATTGGGGTACAGGCCAGAGATGCGGAGGGTGAGAGGCTTCACCATAGACAGAGTGGGGAGCAGAACAGGCAGATCAACGAAGTACACTGCTGAGGGGAGCAGCGGGCGGGTCAGGAGAGGTCTGCCGCGCCATGTGGTCACCTCCGGGGCAGGCTGGAATCGAACTCATGTAGAATTGGCTTTAGCTTCTTAGTGCTGTGCTTTAACCCGCTGCGCCACCAGGGAGGGCCTCTCTCTCTCTTTTTTTTAAGATTTATTTATTTATTCATATAGAATTGGGGTACAGGCCAGAGATGCGGAGGGTGAGAGGCTTCACCATAGACAGAGTGGGGAGCAGAACAGGCAGATCAACGAAGTACACTGCTGAGGGGAGCAGCGGGCGGGTCAGGAGAGGTCCGCCGCCCTCCAGGGCAGGTGGGGATCGAAGTCATGCGTAAGTGGCTTTAGCTTCTTAGTGCGCCACCAGGGAGGGCCCTCTCTCTCTCTCTTTTTTTTTTAACAATGAGAATTGCTAACCTTGGTAGAATTCATTCTCAAGTGATCTATCATAATACCCTGCATCCAAACAACAAGTCATTTTACCTTATGTGCATTATAAAACATTTTCTAAAGAAAAGTAGCCAAATCTTAACATCCTCTGGTCACTGGAGTTAGAGATAGCATGGCGTTGAAATGTATGTTTACTGGATAAAATGAAATTTTAGGAAAATCAGCACTCTCAGTTTTTTTTTACCCAAACACAGTTCAACCACATTTTTTTTTTAACACAGAACATTTACAAGTTTTAATATCATGTCACATCTAAGGAAATGAAGGAGAGTGAAAAAGCTTCTCTAATCTGAACAGTAGGCCTAGACTCTGGATTTATCCCAGGAAGTCAGATCTAACAACTATAATGAAACCTCCCATCCCAGAGCACCCCGAGACACTCTTTTGCAGAAGAGAACATTCTCTAGAAAGTGTCTGTCAACCTGGCCTTTTTTTGTCTGGGCCTGCATCTCTGACTTGTAGCTAGTGAAATAAGTTCTGGCATCCTAGGCTTGCTTTCAACCCTGACTCTGAGTTGGGTGATTTAGGGTAAAAGGGTCTATCTAGGTTGTGTGAATCGTTTAGAGCCCAAGCTTTGGTATCTACATGCCCCTCCTGCTCCCACTTGTCCACATTGGCATTTGGAGCAATTATTCTACTTCTCAAGGCTTTACTTTCCTCCTATAAAATGGGGGTCCTACTAGAATCTACCTCACACAGTTGTTGATAGCATTCAGTGGAATAATGCTGCTAAACAATGGCAGAATCTAAAGAATATAGTAATAATAGATTATAACTATTAATTAGCAACTTTTCTCCCCCTTTCTATACTTTGGGTCCTTCATCTGTAAAATAGGATTAAATATGCTCTGAGCATTGCTCAGTGAGTGCCCCTACCACATTAAATTTAGTTTAGTATTAGATAAACTAGGCCAATTTGACTTGAGGTGATTTGAGATACAGTTCTCTTTAGATCACAGCTTCTGTCTTAGAGTGATCCAGTTACCAGAGGGCTGAGACAAGTGGGTAACTTCGAAATTAGAAGATTGTTTTTAAGTCTGACTATGTTCAACCATCTGAAACTTATGAGAAAACATCTTATCAGAGTATTAGGGTTCCTCTATTAAACTAATCAACTCTGTGATAATTACCACCTACTGGAAAAGCCAGAGGTCAACATCTGGCCCTTAGGCAAGAGCAGAGAGCAAGACACTACCATTGTCTACAGAGAAGAGGCAGTCTCTGGAGGCACAGGATGGGAAGAGGTCTTTACATAATGACAAAAGACTCTTTGTCTAGGGGCCTGTTAAGGGGCTGGAAAAGAAGCATTGCTTTTGAAAAGGTTGTAGGGAGCTCTCCAGAATTACAGCTGCCTACTGATTATTTGAGTGATGTGGCACTTGTATAATAGAAAAGGTTTTGCATTGGAGCTTTTAAATATTTTTTGGTCTTACTGGTAAAGAGGGAGAGGGCGGCTTTTTTCCCCAAATGATTACAGATATTTACACTTTGGTGGTGTACTTACCTTCCTTTTAAAAATAATCCAAAAGGTCCATTTGTGTAAAGTCACAGAAAAATAGAAGCATGGCTAAGCATTGAATACAAGGGAGACGGTGTGGGCTCAGAGAGTGGTAATTACTTGGGTTCCCATTTGGCTTTATAAATGTGCTGTGAAGCCAACACTGGCAGCCTTTAGTACTTTTAAATGGAGTGGTGCACATGTGCTCTGGGGTGGGGAAGAATAACAATCTTTAAGAGTTTTGCTTTTGTCACACAGTTCAAAAACACTACCCACTCACCCAATTTTTGACAGTGGGATACATTTTCATGAGAATATGAGAAAGCAAGGGAGGAATAGCAAGAAGGGGGACAAAGAAAAGAAACACAAAGAAAGAAAGCAGTTATTTTAACCAAGTATTTTATTTTTCCAGTTACCAAGGGGTAGATTTGGCCCTCGTTTATCCTCCTGGCTCTGGCTCCTTCTCCCCAGAACATTCACTGAGAAGCCTTGCTCCTCTTCACAAGCCAGTGACCCTTGACATTGCTAGGGACTCCCATCCCCAGGACCCCCCCACACTCTAATGATTGAGGGGCTATTATACTTCTTCTTTTATTAATCTGTTCTATTCTTTCCAATTACTTAGGTTTAATCTTTAATTTTTTTTCCTTTCAGTATAGCTCTTCGCACACCCAAAAATCCCACCCCCAGCCAATAAATGCACTGTTTCATTTAATGCTTTCAACTGCTCTATGAGTATTTCAAGTAGGCGCCCCATTTTACATGAGGTTGTACATACATATTGCAAATATTCCAAGATCCCCTTTTGAGATTGGCCAACTTGGTATTAGGAATTTTTAAGTTCACCTTAACATTGAGATCCCTGTTTGAATCTGTTCTGAATCTGAAGGGACTTGTTAAGGGATTCTTAGATATTCTTTCACACTGCTGAGATTTTTTCGAGTCCCACTCTGACTCTTCCCACTCTGAGAAGGTGGTTATCATTCACCCTCATCAAAGTCCTCATCAATTATTGGTTATGGATCTGCCCAATTTCATTCCCACATTCTGTCTTAACAGCTGAGAAGCCCAGCGCCCCCTTGAACTGGGACCATGGAGTAGGCAAGCCAAGACATCAGTCCATAAACAGGCACCGTTTGTCTCCAAAGAGCAAAGATTATCTCTTTTAGTATATGATGTGCCACCAACAGTTACTACTTGGCATGCCTGGGTGCATGTATGTGCACACATGTATGTGCACATGTATGTGTCTACATGTGAGGTGTGTGTATATGTTGGGAGTGGGAAACTGAGCAAGAACTAGGAAGATCTGCTTCATGACTATCTCTCAGAGATCTCTAGAGGGTCTGTATTTTATATCATAGACACAGCTCCTGTAATACCCAAGGCTGAGAATACAGGGAGATGGTGAGAAAGTAGAGAATTTATAGTTGCTGTCTATGGCATTGAATCTGATTCTACCAGATAGCTGCAAAAATTCAGGCAGTATCTGAATTTTAGGATGGGGGGGCAGTAAATAACATCTTACTCATAAGAGTGTATGTGTTTTGCCTTTGAGAATCACCTAGTGAATATTTTTGAATGATTAAATGAATGTGCTAAGAGACTCCCTTAATGTCAAGATGTCTTAAGTCTAGAAGCTAGTTTGATACTCACCTGTCCTTTCCTCTTGACATTTTATTATTGGTGAAAATGTTTATATATGTTCCCTACTAAGTTATAATAAAACACCTAGTATTTATAGAGGGCATGCTAAGCACTGGCGCCTATGCCCAGAGGTCTGTGTGCATGAATTAACTAGTGATTTCCTACATTTTGGTGAGGTATTGTTATCCCATTTTACAGATGAAGAAATGAAGGCTCAGAGGAACTTGGTACTTTGCTTACTTTCTACAGTCCCAGATGGCAGCACCAGAGTTCATCTCAGATCTTCTCCAAAGCCTGTGCTGTGTTGTGCTGCTCCTGCAGGAACAAGAGCTATTACTAGTCTTGCTTTTGCTGCAGCCTCTGGTACAGTGCTTCATACAGTAGCTGCTCAATAACTTTTAAAATGGTAGGCATTCAATAATACCTAAGGATTTTAAAATCCAACTCTCAGAGTCTAAAGGCAACTTAGTAGATCAGTAAAGAGGTGATCAGAAAGGCCTGAACAGCTCTTAGCTCTGATAAGTCAAAAAACTAGCTAACTCTGAATTCTTTTCTTTTGAACAGAAAAAAGGAAGAAGCTAAGCTGAAAAAAGAGGGATTCAACAAGCCACTCATCCTGCACCACTATAATGATTTTGAAAACACAATGAAGGTGGGCAGTAGTCCTCCAGCTTCTCCCAGTTTCTGGCTGGAGCTGCTGAAGGGGAAGCCACAGATACCAACAATCAAAGAGGTTGACCCAGCAATGAAAAAGTTCCATTACTCCCTGGTAGATGGTTCGTCTCTGACCTAGTATCCTTGTGAAATTCCAGGGAAACAAAGATGGCAGGGGCCAGGCGTGATGGAAGGGCTGACAGATAGGGCACACGACAGGTGGAGAATGTGGAGTCCTCTCCACACGCTTAGCAGAAAATCCCAGAAGTGTTGGCAAAGGAGGTTTGATGCTTTGTATGTAGTCATTCCCTTTCTTCAAGGGTCCACATTCCCTCATATTGGGGCAGGAGAAGTCTGCCTGAGAAGGAGCTTGGGGAAAATCCTCTACAGGTACTTACTTCTGTTTAAGGGGATTTCTCATGATAGCTGATGTTTTTGATAAGCACCTATGGTCTCATTTGGTTCTGAGAAAATAAGTTATTTTTGATTCATTTTCCTGATGAGTAGAGAGAACCACGTGGGGGTCTAGTCTCTAGAGAATCTAGCAGAGAAGAGACACTTTTTTTAAGTTCCTATAAAACCAAAGAAGAACACTATGTGTCCAGCATAGATTGTAGAGGTTGGTACAGCTAGCCTTTGTAATATTGCTCACATTTTCATATTTAACCCTCCATACTCCTTTGCCCATCTGTCCATCATCATTGGCAAGGAGTCCCATCCTCCTCCTGTTTGCTGGGATGACCTCATCTGGCAGCACTGGCTAGCAACGGGCAACTCTGGTTTCCAGCCACTCTACCATTAACAGGACCAGTCTGACAGGACTTCCCTGTTCTTATTCACAAGAAAGGTTTCAGAGAATTTGGGGGCTAAAGTGAGTGTGCAGTAAACATAGGGGAAAGCTGTGTAACCAGGAAACCCCTTTGCTGACTTCACGCAATCATTACTGAGCTTGGTGACTATGGAAGCCGCTGCACTTCCATTGGCCTATCTGTAATGGTTGGTTTAAAAAATTTAATATGCTAAGAGTTAAATCATTTTATAGAAGAATTATTACTAGCAATATTGTTGTTGTTTGAATGCATATCAGTTCCTTAGCGTGGGTTTTATCTATCCTTCTGGCCGTCTAGCTGTCTGCCAGAGTTCTTCTGCCCTTCCTTGGGGTGGCATGTACACCAACATACTCAGTGACTCTGACAAGCAAGTTATCCTTGGAACCTTTACACCTTTTGGATGTGGTAGCATTTCTTTTCCTAAAAGGCAAGTGAGATTTCATACTAATTAGAACGTGTGAGTAAGCTAAGAACAAGGAATGGGCTAAAGTCCAACAAGGGGAGACATAGTGAGCAATCCTTAAAGTGGTCAACCTAATTGAAAAAGCAGGGGAGGGAAATAAAATAAATGCATGTGCTTAAAACCGTTCCGTGTGCAGACTTGCAAATTAGAGCAGTCTAAAGATCGGGACCCTAGAAGCAGTAGGGCTGTCGGCGAGCTGATGCTCTGGCTCTCAGAACAGAAGGATCTATACAAAGGCCACGTCCCATGAACACACAGGTTGCAAACTGACATAGGAAGACTGGTATTTAGAGAGTAAGGTCTCAGCTGAGCCTCCCTGCCACTTAAGAGCCAGGTAACACTGGCAGGACCCCTGCTCAATACCCCATGAAAAGCCTCTTCAAAATGTGTACAAAGCTCCTAGGACCATGATCTCCATGGGCTCTTACATCCATCCTGCCTTCTTTCATTGCATTTTCCATGTTTCTTATATCTTACATCTATGGTGTATTTTGTCTCTTTGATTTGAGTCCTTTGGGGGAATTTCTCCTCTCCTTGATGTTCATATATGAAAACTACTCAGCTGAGACCTCTATGAGGATGACCAAAACCCTTGGTGATTTGAGTCATGGAGAGTTTATAGCACAGTAATAAAACAATAAAGCACACGATGTACTAACTTGTTCTCAAAAGTGCTTCATCCATCCTACATGTTGCCCAACATTTCAGTTTTCCTTTCCAGTGTCAGTTTCCCTCCCCTCCTCCTTTTCCTTTCTGACTTAGGAAATTCTATTCTTTCATTCCCCATTCCCCAGTGTCTCTGTTTTTTCACAGAGGAGAAATTCAGCTCTGTATAGCTAGATACCCGAGTCAGAAAACTTTTACTTGTCCGACACTTAGCTCACTACCTGGATGAGCCATCCGGGGGGTAGGAGGTCAAGGACGAGGATTGGATTATTCTTCTGCCCCAGCCACCTCATTGCCATGTCATGTCTTGTTTATTCATTCACTTACATGTTTCTTCTTCCCTTCCTTTTACACTAAGTCCTCCCTTCCTCAACAGGAGTATCTGTTGTGCCTCTATAACATATCGGTCACTCAAAATAGCGAATAATACAAAGTATGGTTCCCATTTGTCAAGAGATATGTTACAGGGAACCCGAAAGGAAATATTGAAAAAGGGAAATAAATGCAGAAAGTTGAAACAAAAAGGCATTTATAGAAAATATTTATACTCATTGATTCAACAAATAATTGTGGTGGGCCTTCCACTGTATAAACTCAGGGGAGAACGAGACAAAGTCCCTGCCATCCTGAGAACCTTAACTGACTACATCTGCAAAGACCCTCTTTCCTAGTCAAGTCACATGAATTTTGGGGGGAGCTTTTGCATCTTTATGATTCTTCCCTTCCTTATTTTCCATGTGGTCAGTTTCAACTTAAAGTACCCAACGCATCTTAATAATAACACATTAAATAAAGAAGCATGAAATGTAGGTTTAGAAAAACATTTTCTGAACCTCAGTGCTTTGTGAAGAGATTGACATTGCTATTTTTCGGGCTGTCGGCTTGTAAACCAAGGCTTCTCACAGCATATCCCCCCTCCAGATTCGTGGCGTTTGAGGGTTTTTTTTTTTTTTTTAAATAGTCCATATCACATACTTGACCATCCCTTCCCTGTATTTTTGACTTTTCTTGATTTCAAAATAATGGGAGTTGAAAGTCAGGGCATTCAGAGAGCAAGAGGACATCCCCTACCCTTTTAAAAACTAGGTCTTAAATAGACTTTTGTGTGTTTTTACTACATTCAGCATTTGGTATGTGCTGACCATGTTTCTACTGAACCCCCTTCTCACTGTTTCCCTCCCGGGCTCCTTTTGTGAGCCCTATCACCTGTTGAAATGTGTCAGCAGCTTGCCAGCAAAGAGAGTAAGGTCAGCAAAAAGCTACAAGAAATAAAAGACTAACGCTTGCATCTCAAGAAGCAAAGAGCGTGAGATTAATGGGGCAGCAGAGTGCCTGGTGGGGGCATGTGGGCACCTGCCCTCTCCATGTGGAGCAGCCTTTCCCAACTTTGATGTTGAGATGAAAAGAAGATGACAGAGCCTGGAAGCATTTGAAAGGTTGAGAAAGCACATACTTTTGAAAGTGTTTTCCTCTCCCAACCCAACAGTTTCGAAAGAAAGGTTAGGAAACACTGTATAGTTTTATGGCCTTTTAATTGAACATCTTATTCTGTGACAGGACAATGTGGAAAATAATTGCTTTCCTGAAGAACAAATATATTGCTACTTGATTTTCCAGGGGTTGTTAGTTTCTTTGGAGACTGTTTCTGGCAAACTTGATTAAAACATCTCTCCTTTACTGGTTACTAAGATGTATCCCTTTAGCTAGAGAGATCACTTCTTTCATGTTATTTCATTTTCCTAGGAACCTTATTATTAGGTAGGCTTCTCAGCTGAGGCAAACTGAGCTTCAGAGAAGATGGATCACTTTTCCATGGTAGAGAAAAACACTGAAGTCAGTTTTTAGACTGACTTCCGATGCTTCCCACCCTTTTCCACCTTGAACATGCTGGGAGAGGTCTAGAGCTGAGTACATACTACATGAGTACTAACAATTACAGGAGTAGTAATAATGATAATGTAGGAGTGATGATAGATTGATGGTTATATAGATACATATATTTAATAAAAATAATTTCACATGACAAAATGTATTGGAAGAAATTTCATCATCTTACAAGTGAAATTACAATTGCATTTCATGGAAATTTAAAATTTCCCTTCCTTTCAGCCTCTTTTCTGCAAATGTAACTGAAGCAAAAATATTTTATATGTTCTTCAAGAGACAGTGGCATATACATCCACATACATATTTGCTTTCTTTTATTTCTCTTCTCTTGTCTTATGACAAATGTTTTAAATTCCTAGTGAAAAAAGTACTTGTCCCGAAACCTGAACTAAGAAAGTCCCCACTTGTGAAGCTCTTGGATCATTCCACTGCAATACCATCAATATATCCTCAAAAAGAGAACTCAGCAGGCAGATAATTGATAACTAGCAAATATAATTTGGTATGCCATAGAATGAATGCAACACTATTCAGTCATAAATCTAAATAATGTACTGACACATATTATAATATAGAGTAACCTTGAATACATTATGCTAAGTGAAAAGCCCAGTCTTAAAGGCCACTTATTTTAAGATTCCATTTAACATGAAATGTTGAGAGCCCAGGAGAGTTCCTTTTTTACCACAGCCTCACAACATCTGTTGTTGCTAGTTTTTTTTTTTTTTTTTAATATGTGCCACAGAATAAACAATTCTGTATAGACAAAAAGTCAGCAAGTGGTGGCCAGGCAGCGAGGGAGTCACTGCTAATGGGCATGTGGTTTCTTCTTGATGATAGTGTTATAAAATTCACTGCGATTTATCATTGCACAGTTCTGTAAATATACTGGACATCCCTGACTTGTGCACTTTAGGTAGTGAGTAGCATGATATGAGTTATAGCTCAATAAAATTGTTAGATAAAAGAGAGAGAGTGGCGGGGGATGAGGAGGCTTAACAGTAGAGGCCAGCATTTCCAGAGATTTTACATGGTGCGGGATGCTGCTCAATGTGGGTTGCATGTATGAACTCACTTCATCTTCACAAGCTCTGCGAGGTCGATGCTGTTGCCAGGAAACTGAGTCACAGGAAGGATAAGAAACATGTCCAACTTCACACAATGAGGAAGTGGAAGCGCCCGAGTCAGTGTCATTAACTGGCAAAGCAGTGTTTGTACCACTGGGCCCCGGTGCCTGCAAAAGCATGTCTTAAAGCCTTGGCATTCAGTACACTTCCAGTAAAAATTATCAAAATAATTACTATCACCATTCCAAAAATGTCCTAAGTAGACAATCCACCTCATCCTGGGCATCCCTAGAAGCCTAATAGTACCCAAACAGTGACTTGAATGTTTTATTTATCTGTAACTGAATCCATTTCATCAATGCAATTCAGACTTTTAGTAAGCCCCTTCTCTATGCCATGTCCTATGCTGAGAGAAAACACAAAGGTATTTAAGTATGAACACAGTGATGCTACTGATTCAGAAAAGCTAATAAAAGGTTACACTGCATTAATAGACACGTAAAGTATGGGGAAGATTAAGTGGATGCCTTCCTGTTCTTTACCACTCACATTCCATCTGTTTAAATCTACATGGTTCTTGAATCCACACATGTGTCTTCCTCTTTCTCATCCCTGTGCTGGTCCTATGTGCCATCCTCTCTCCCGGCCACTAGGTACAACTTTTAGCTGGTCACTAGCATTTATTTTGGTTTCTTACAATCCAGTTGGTAATGTTACCTCCTGGCCTGGTTATCAAAACTTTCTGTGACTTTTCACTCTTAAAATTCACGATGTGTCATGGGGAGACCCTGCACACATGACCCTCTCTACCTTTTGTTTGTAATTACTCCAATCTGCAACACTCTGAACACTTAGCCACGTCGACATTCTCTCAGACCCTGAATGAACTGTGCCCATCTCTTTCCCCCAAGGCCTTTTACACATGTGACTGCATCCATTTGGAACACATTCCTGTTCAGTCCAAAGTGAGCCATGACCAAGGCATGGACCAGACCCTTGACTCTGTAATGGGAGGAGATGTGTCCCAGAAAAGGGACATCTTGATCAGCTGACCAGATATTTGCCAACTCTCCCTTTGAGACAGGTCAGCCAGGAATGTGAGAAGGAGTCTGAATTGTAAGGACTGACCCAGTGATTTCCATGTCCTCAGCCAAATCAATGAGTTCAAGAAATTCTCTTGTTCTAATTGAGTCATGTTTCATGTTTTGTTTTGTTTGGTAGTCAGATATCAATGATGTGTAATCGGGATGGAGGCATTGTGTTCAGCAAAAAAGGAAACATCGTAAGGGAATGGATGTGGCCTTCAAAGGGAAAGCTTCAAGATCCAGTTGAGATTTGGGTATTATTTTATAACTTTTTATTCTTTTTTTAAAGATTTATTTATTTATGCATAAAGAACTGGGGTACCGGCCAGAAGTGCAGGGGCAGTGAGAGGATTCACCGGAGACAGAGTGGGGAGAGAACAGACCGACTGATGAAGTACACTGCTGAGGGGAGCAGCGGGTGGTCAGGAGAGGTCTGCCTCGCCATGTGGGTCACTTCCAGGGCGGGGAATCAAACTCATGCTGAAGCTACGGTGGCCAGCTTGCAGTGCTGCACTTTAACCCACTGTGCCACCAGGGAGGGCCTTGATTTATAATTCCTATGATAATTTCTTATAATAAATTTACTTTGAGTTTTTAAAATGGATTATCAAGGGAAAAGAATATTGAGAGGACTGGTGCTCAATTTAGATTGCCATGCCACTGCACTGATTTAATAAACCTTTGCTTCAGTTCTTCACTTCACTAATATAAACCTAGTTGCTTTTGATGACTGTGGCTTTGCTAAGCAGCAAGTTAGTTTAAACAGTAAATTTAAAAATGAACATCAGGAAAGCACTTTTTACCTATTAAAAATTATTATTTTTTTAAATAAGAAAGTATACCATGTCCAAAACGAAAGTCTTCTCATTCTCACTCTGCAGAATTTTTCTTTTAATAGATCAATGTGTATCTCTGCAGGATCAGGGATCCAGAATTCAGATAATTTGTTAGAGTGAAAACTGGGGTGAAATGAGAAGTGTGTCCCCTCTGAAGGGGGCAGCCTTTACTCAGGGTCAGATGGCTCTTGCCACATGGGGGTCTAGTCCTGGGTTTGCTTTAGTTTACAAATTTTTTAAAGTAAAGTCAGCTTTTGTGTATGAAAACATCCAGATATTTAAACGTCAGCAACTAATTCAAACTCAGAAGAAGAAACCCAACACTTCCCAAACTGCCTGTCTATAACCTCTGGGGTTGATTTTCTCGATTCATATGTAATTGTTTCTTGGGTGAGTACAGCAACTTGTGCCAGGAGCCCATGGTTGTGTAGGTGGCATACTGCAAAGCCACCCTCAGGAGCCTATACGGAAGGCCCAGTATGGCAGACACTAGACACTCTGGTTATGAACTTTTGAAATATGCGATATATATAAAATATACACAAGCTTTCAAAGACTTAATCCAAAATAAGAAAGTATAAAACAGTTCACTGCTTATTTTAACATTGTCTACAAGTTGAAATGTTAATATTTGGATAGAATTAATTATAAAATGTTTTTAAAATTAATTACATCTGTTTAAAGATGGTTAACTGGATTACTAGAAAATTTTAAGTTACTTAAGTGCCTTGTATTTATGACTCACCGTATATTCCCCTGGACAGGCTGCTGTGTAGAGTACCTTCGGGTCTCTTTTCTGAGCAGTTTCCGAAAGTGTCCGTGATGGCCAAGTGCCCTGCACAGACAATTAAGGTGGTTATTTTTAAAGAAGTATAGCTTTGCTCTGGAGGGTTAGGGAAGTAAGAAGAAGTAAAGAAACAGAACCAAATAGGGCAAATTTCTTGATACTCAGAAATCAGGATTCCCTCGCCCTGCATCTAAAAAAACAAGGTCACTAATAGAATAGATTATTCAGTTCTGTTTCCCTCAGCTGGTTGCCTTCAGGAAACAAGGGGTATATAACTTGTAACCAAACAAAAATCCTTCCCATGCTTACAGCATCTGATGTAATTAGGACTCACTATCTACAGCAAGGCTTTAGATACACGTTACAAACATGCAGATGTTCACTAGAGCTTGAAGAAGCTGCTCATTTATAAAATCTCTCCAGTTTTAATAAGTTTCATAGTAACATCGAAACTGGTAAAATTTCTAAGTACTTGGCAGCCACGAATGACTTTTGTCTACATCAAGAGCATAAGATGTTATCAAGCATATTTTACAAGAAAGTCTGTTTTAGGCTTGGCAATACGTGAAAATCAACCCAGTATTTTCTCAGTCTAAAATAACCTGATGTCCTTGATGAGACATGACTACATTAATAGAAATAGTTTCTCCTCACTCCTTCCTTCCCTCAGTAAGTCCTAACAGCCCCCATGTTTGCAGCACAAAACCTAAAACCTAACCCTGACTTAGTGGAATTAGACTGAAGCTGTCTGTGAATATCACTTCCAAATTTCCTGTCACGCATCATACAAATGTCTGTGATTGCCATCGGAATTATAAGCTGAGAATTCTGTGTAGGAAATGACAGTCCTTTCTGTTGCCCCCAGGTGAATAAGTTTATTACTGTGAAGATTTCTGGGCTCCTTGCCATCAGCTTGCTCTACAAATGGCATCTCCAAAGTCTCAAGCTATCTCTGGCACCTGTAAAATGCAAGTCTTTTCCTCCACATCTCCCTGAGCCGGTATGAGATGTTTCTTTAATCTCCTGCACACCACTTCCTCCGGGCAGATGAGAGCAGAAGCCATCTTGACTGTAGATTCTCATCTTTTAGTATTTGCTGGGAATTGCTACAATAACTGATGGAATCTTGGCTAGTTAAAAATCTGACCATGGTTGTTTATTGACCTTCACTGAGAAATAACTTTAAGTTTGAAATGAGGAAAGTTTAGAATTGGGAGAATTCAGAAAGAGATTTGGGAGAAAAAATGAACACCTAGTGTTTTCTAAGGCCATGATTCCTAAGTTTGGAGAATTAATTTCCTCTGTCCTAATTGATTGAATTACTTGCATTTATATAATCTATAATTCTTAAAAGTGGTGTGGGGTTCAACTTATTGCTTTTCAACTAAAATGACATTAAGTCAATTTAAAGTTACTTTTTTATTAATGTCTAAGTAATGTTCCTCAGAATCTTGATGTTGTTAGAACAATTTTTTAAACGGACTCAGAATAATTTCTCTTAAACATTACTTCACACTTACTCTAAATCTCTTGAGAAATTTGAGGCTAAATCTTTTGTTTGTCAAGAAGTGAAGACAGTGAAATATTAGTATCTCTAATTTCATGTGTTTAAAGTTATGAGCTAGCTTGATTAATTTTGATCAAACTTTTGAAAGATTAAAAAATTAAGTGAAAGGTACATGTACTATAGAATGTTTATGAGTACATGTAAAAGCTCTTTAGTTTTATGGACAGGCACCAAGACTCTGTCAACCTTAAGAATTACAATGGTTATGTCACAGATGCTGAATCTATATAATTTTTTTTTGCCACAAGTAGTGCTATTATACCAAACTATCTTGCTTCCTTGGATTTTTATGAATCATATCAACTGAAAAGAGCTTACAATTTCTCTTAGTCATTCCCTGATGTCAATTCCATCACCAAAGAATTCAAAGAGTTGTGCAAGAACTACTACAAAATAAAGTACAAGCAAGTGAAATCCACAATCCAGGACAAAAATGTAAGTGTGACATTGGTGCTGCTTTGTTATTGCTGCCAATATGTGTCTTGATTTCCATGTGATATTAAAATTCTTTTTCTCGTCGCACAAAGACATACGTTAGAGAGTCAAGGTACCGAACCATTGTCCTTTTATTATAATTATTAGAAACATTTGTTTACATTAACTTGCTTTTAAATCTTGAGCATTTTTAAGTGTACAGTTCAGTGCCTTACATACCTTCACATTGTTGTATATTCATCACCACTTTCCCTCTCCAGAACGCTTTCATCTTGCATAATTAAAACTCTATACCAGTTAAACAATGGTTCTCAATTCCCCTTTCTTCTAATCTCTGACAACTGCTGTTCTACTTTCTATCTCTATGAATTTGACTATTCCAGGATCACATATAGGTGGAATCATACAGTATTTGTCCTGTAAAGGACGAACTTCACTTAGCATAATGTCTTCAAAGTCCATCCATTTGTGTCATCTATCATGTGTTATTAAAGTCGAATAATATTCTATCCCATATACATACACTATATATACATTGTATACATTGTATACAATACACACATACAATATATATTGTATAGACATACATGCCACATTTTGTTTGTCTTTTCCTCTGTTGATGAACTCAGATTTTTTTGCTATTGTGGTTAATGTTGCAATGAACCTGGGTGTACAAATATCTCCTAGAAATCCTGCTTCAATTATCTTGGATCTATTCCCAGAATGGACTTGCTAGATCATAATGTAGTTCTTTTTTAAAATTTTTTTAAAAATATTTAAATTTTTTAATTGTCTGAGGAAAACCATACTCTTTTCCCTAACGGCTGAACCATGTTGTGCTTCCACCAGCAGTGCACAAGAGTTCTACTTCTCTATATCCTCACCTGTTACTTTCCTTTCTTGTTTTTGTTTTTGTTTTTTTTGCATACAGAACTGGAGTACAGGCCAGAGATGCAGGGGCGGTGAGAGGTTTCACCAGAGACAGTGTGGGGAGCAGAACAGGCCAACTGAAGAAGCACACTGCTGAGGGGAGCAGTGGGCGGGTCAAGAGAGGTCTGCCACGCCATGTGGATCACCTCGGGGGCGGGGATCAAATTCAGGCTGAAGTGGCTTTAGCTTCTTAGTGCTGTGCTTTGACCCGCTGTGCCACCAGGGAGGGTCCCTTTATTGATTTTTATATTAGTCATCTGAATGGATATAAAGCAGTATATTTAAATTTTAAAAGATCAAATTTATTAAATTATAATTTTTCTGTAGTAAATATGTATCCATTTTAAGTGATGAATTTGTCTTGATGAATCCCAGCAAATGTGTGCATCTATATAACAGTCAAGATAGAGGTAATTTCTATGCCACTTTAAAGTCCATATCCCCTGCACTGATCCCAAACAAACATTGTGTTCTGTCACTATTGCTAGATTTGTATTTCTAATATTCACATAAGTAGAATCATTCACAGAAGGCAGCACTGATTTCTGCCTGGGTCAGCATAATTTACATACAAATATAGCTGCTCATTAGGATGTTATTTGAGGTTCATCCATGTCATTGCCTATGTTTGTAATTTGTTCCTTTCTGTGAGTGAGTAGCATTCTCTTGGATGGTTATACCACGCTTTGTTTCTATATTCACCAGTTGTTGACACTGGATTGTTTCTGACCTTTAGTTATGCATTAAGTTACTAAGAATATTAAGGATGCTGGTGTGGGGAGAACTATGTATCTTCTTTTTTTTTTTTTTTTAAAGATTTATTTATTTATTCATACAGAACTGGGGTACAGGCCAGAGGCTCAGGGGCGGTGAGAGGCTTCACCAGAGACAGAGTGGGGAGCAGAACAGGCAGATCAACGAAGTACACTGCTGAGGGAAGCAGCGGGCGGGTCAGGAGAGGCCTGGCTCACCATGTGCCCGCCCACGCGGCAGGCGGGAATCGAACTCACGCGGAAGTGGCTTCAGATTCTCAGTGCTGTGCTTTAACCCGCTGCGCCACCAGGGAGGGCCTATGTATCTTCTTTTATAAAACAATATTGGCTAAGAAAACAATATTGGCTAAGATGTTTATAAGTTGATATACTGGCTTTTGTGAATTTAGAAACTGACCCTTTTTTTTGGTTCCCAACATTTTAAAATTTTATTTTATTTTATTATTCCCAACATTTTAAAAAAAGAATTAGTGGCCCATGAAATTCTGAATATAATGGCACTTAGGATAATTTTAGTTATACAGGACCATATAGCATGTAACAGAATGTATTCCTGCCCAAACACCTGTTATGCTATCAAAAGTTTCACTCATAGCTCTGAATGTCCCCCTCAAAAGATGTCTTCACTCTAGTTGAGAAATGTTCATTATCAATTATCCTTGAGGAAATAGTCGGCATGTAGTGTGAGGAGATCAATCATAAGATTATTGGACTTATGTAGCCAAGATATTCTGAGCTAGAGTAATGTAGTGAGCATGGAAAATAGATGCAAGCCACAAGTTAATTAAGAGGCAGAGTCTATAGGGCAGTTCTCTGATCTGTATGTTGAAGTGAAGAACCAATTCCAGAGGCTTACATAAAAGTAGATAGAATGAGAAAAGAGGGTCAAGAAAAATAATATTTAAGGGTAGAGAGATAAGAGGAGTCACCTTGGGGATCATAGAGGGCTCCAGGTCTTTCCCCCCTTCTTCCATATGCTGGGGTGGAAAGCTGAAACCTATTTCTACATCCCTCTGAAGATGGATTTCCGGATGCCCCTTAAGGCCTACTGTGTAGATGCATTAATATGAGATTTGAGACATGGGAATAATGGAAAACCAAATTTTTGCTGTAGCAAACAAGCTTATGGGTAAGTTGGGTTTGCCAGAGCCCCATTTCCGGTCACTAACGTCCTGGATACGGAGATGCGATTGTAGGGACTTCCTGATTCCAAAGTCACACCTTCAATGGACTCTTTGCAACAGCTCTGGAAGCTGTTCCTTGACCACGATCTTCTGTCTATGCCAGAGGCAGCAGCAACCCTGGATGGCCAGTTTGGTGTTAAGCGAGCAGCTGGAGATTGTCTCTCCTGCTTTTAGTGGGTTTATAATTAGGTGCTTACAACTAGAGAGGTTCTATTTCCTGCATTAGTAATAATAACACACAAACTGAAGAGAGTTTCAAATGGTAACAGCATGAGCTTTTCAGTGAGATTAAACAAATGAGAAATAAAAAGCAGCCTTTTGGTTATCTCTGTAGGGGATCAACAACGACTTAGCAAGAGCCACTTCAGGGGACAGGTTGAAGTGGAAATCTGGTTGCAAGAAGTTGAGAAACAGATACCTGAGAACATAAAGATTCTTGTGTTACTGGTGTTTGCATATGCTTTGAATTTATAGTATATGAGAGAAGAGGGCTGGGCCTGCATGTACCAAACCTGTGTTTTAGACCTTAGCTCTCAAAGTTTCCTAGACTTTGGTCAAACCACAGTACTTCTGAGCACTGAGGCTGCTTTCTGATCCCCGTAGTGCATCGACATTGGTTCCTAGCTTCCTCCTTCTAGTGGCTGACTGAACAGCAGCTCTGTGCTTTGGCTTTGTGGTTGGCCTGGGTGGGTACAACCTCGCAAGCTTCCACTGAAGTGATAGGATTTCTTGTGTGTGGACTTGAGATTTATTTCCCCCCACTAGCCATGCTAGCTTCTTTTAGAGGAGCTAATATGTTCCATACCTCCCCCACTCAATGCCTCATCAGAAATCTTTCGCTGGTTTTTGTTTCAGATGGAGGAAAACAGATCCCACTGTCTGGTTCAGACCTCTGCAGCTCCTTTCAACTAGAGTTGTATAATCTTTGATTCTTACATTGTTAAGGTTGTTTTAAGCTAGAGAGCATTCTTTACTTGTTTAGTGTAAAATAATAGAAAGAATGCTCTTTATTATATTTAGAAATTGATTGAATATGTTTACAATCATAGTGTCACTGTAAAAATGTGCCCCTTTTTCATATTCATGATTTTTAAATTTTGAAGGAAAGTAGTACCACCAAATCCCTTGCATGTTTATAGAAAGCTATGAAATATGAAAAAACCTTCCTTTTGTGTTTCAGTCTTTCTTTCATACTGCTTTACCAAAATTATCTCATTTTCATCATAAAAATTGCCTAAATTTTTTTTTTCAAAAGGTGCCATTTGGAGACTACGGTCTTTTTAAGTAACCATTGTCTGTTCTTCCATTAGCTCAGTTCTATCCTCCCATGTGAAAAGTGAGGGGACGCAAGAAGAAACCAGATATATATACATTATTGATTTCTTGAAGAGTGAGGTGAAGGGCCCTCCTTCTATGCAAATATGAGATGGAGATAAGATTTTCTCTTAATAAAAAAAAATAGCATTAGCTTCCAATTCAATTAAAAGACAACCTTTTCAGCCAATGATGCTGGGAAAACTGGATATCCATATGCAAAAAAATCCTCATGTTATAGACCTATGAAAGTTGTAAAACTCTTAGAATAAAATATAGTTATCTATCTTTATGATCTTGGGTTAGGAAATTGTTTCTTAGAAACAATCCCAAAAGCACAAATGAAAACAGAAAAAAAAAAATCAACTTGACTTAATTAAAATTAAAAAAAAACCAAAAAAACATTTTCACGGGGCCTCCTTGGTGGCTCAAGGGTTTAAGTTGCAGTCCTATGAAGCTATCTGCAGCCACTGCAGCACTAGTTTGATCCCCAGCTGGGGAGGTGACCCACGTAGCACAGCAGACCTCTCCTGTCTTACCCACTGCTCGTCAGCAGTGTGTTTCAGTAGATCTGCCTATTCTGCTCTCCACTCTGTCTCTGGTGAATCTTCTTACCTCCCTCCCATACCTCCGGCCTATACCCCAGATCTTGTATGCATAAATAAATCTTAAAAAAAAAAATATTTGTACTACAAACCTAATCATCACAATTCTAAAATCAATTTCAACTTAAGTAGCTAATTTATTTCTCCCTGCATTAAATTTTCCTGTTTTTCAGCCTGCAACTTTAACAGGCCCAGAAGATACTGCTTCATTTGACACAGTAATGGACATAAATCCTATGCATGACATTTCATCACTTATCAAATTAAGAACACTACAGAGAAAGGTCAAGCACATCCTGCTTCATTGGCTGGATCACTACAGATTTGCAATGGGTCAGTTATGCAATCAATTGTGTTGAACATAACCTGTTCTCATTGTTCAGAGTTTCAGACGACCAACATTTAAATGCCTGTTTCTTCTAAGGTTCCCCAGGTGGTAAATTTGTAAACTGTAAAGCTCTTCATATACAGATTCTCACAGTCCTGCTATGGACTATCGCAGGAAAAGCAAAGAAGTTAACTTCAATTTTATTTCCTTTCTCTTAGGAGAGAAGAATCTAGTTGATCATTTTTGTGTCTTCATAAAAGGAGATTCTTTCCTTTTCATTTTTTGAATCAGAAGAAAACTGCCCCTCAACCACCCACCCTTCACCTCCCCACCAAAACCCTCAATCCTTGTTAATGTCTTTTGTACATTTGCTATCTTTAGAAAGGGTTTTATGTCCTCAGATTGGAATATGTTCCTAGAATATCAACTTATCAATGTTTCAGTTCTTGACTGGTGACATAGCATAGTTGTTTTTATTATTCATGGTAACAGATCTATAAAGTCTCTGCAAATACTGAATTAATAAATACCTAACCTTTGCTCCTTGGAGAAATACAGGGTGAGTTTCCTGTAAGCCTTTGATCACATTATTTTTGTCAACCAATCAATATTTGACTTTATTTTTGTGTGTTTATAGATGTTGCACCCATGACCAAAAGCACTATAATCTGTGCCCAAACTCAAAGTATTAAATACTGTTTAAACACGGGTACACACATTAAACACATGTGCATTTTCCCCACAAGGCACAGCACACCTTCTTGTACTATGGAACACTAGAGGAACTGGCACTCACTTCTACCCTTGTAGGCCATCTTAAACAGCCAGTCACCAACAGAAAGGACAGAGGCGTGCAAAACACTAAATAGAGTGCAAGAAGCCCAGGTACTTTTTTATAGTGTAAGAGTTGGAACAAGAAAGAAAAGCACTGCCTTGATTAACCTCAACTGGGAACATGTGTGACATAACTTAAAATTTTACTGCTCTGCATGCATCTGCAAATGACCATGAAAGTGCTGCAGAAATTGATTTGGGTTACAAATTTAGAGGGCAGGCAAATTCATAAATACAGAATCTGTGAATGACGAAGATTGACTTTATGCTAAATCCAAACAGCAAGCTTATCCATTTGAGGAAGTAATTTGTTACTCACCATGGTATGTAACAAATTTCCCAAAGGACAGACCACAGAAAATTTATACAGGAACCAAAAGATGGAAATCCTCAGCCCTCAGGGCAGTCTGGCTGGAGTGGGGCAATTGAATCCTTGGGATAATTAATTCCACTTGCAAGCAGTCTAGTAATACAGAAGTATGCCATGCAAATACATCAGCTTCATAGATATATATGTATATATGTGTATGTATGTATGTGTGTATATGTATATATATGTACATATAAATACATATATATATGCCATGTTGTCTATTACATGTATAAGGCTTTACATTTACCATTTTCTACTTGATGAAAAAAGATTAGGATGCACTGGTCTATAACATGTCCAAAGCATAGTATTCAGCAACAAGTAGCCCTGTTCAAAGCCTGGCTCCACCTCTTTCTACTTGGGAGAACTGTGAAAGAAATAGGAGCACTTACCTCACGAGGGTACTTACATTAATGGGACATTGTATTTTATATCCTTATCACACTATCTACCATAGGTAACACAAACATATGGATTCAATTTGTTAACAGCCTGGAAACTTCTCTTGTTTATACACACATACAATGTATCCTGTGTGCAGATCAAGAAGTGCATTTAAAATCAAGACCAACAGAAAGCCATTTCTGTAAATGAGTGAAGCAATGTCCAGATTATTGCAACCAATGTAACCCACAGAACTCAGCCTACAGCCCCTTGGCCACTAGGGTTTTCAGTGAAGTATACTTTGTTATATTTCAGGAATAGAGTTAATGCATGTTTGCAAAATGCCTAAGTTTCTACAGAAATTGGGCAGGAAACAAAAAGTCCCATCAGCACAATTTCCTGTGAAACAAAGTGCAAAGGAAGATGAGGTTAAGGAGTATCTTCGATATCGAAGTACCTTCCTAAAACTGAAGGGAGCCTTTAAGCCTTCGCCTCACCATCGCAAGCAGAAGAACTCGGCCACCAAGCCGTCCTTTAGGTAAGCACCTCATCATTTGTCTTAATAACTCACACAGCTTATGTTTGAAAGAGTTTTGGATGAGTGTTTCACCGCATCTACCTACAATTGCTGAGCAAGGACTTACATTGTTGTTAACACGAGTTCTTTCTAAGTAGGCTGGGCTAAGGTGTTGCCACTTCAGTGTAATCTGTAAAAAAAAAATAATAATAATTTCTAAGTCTGGAAAATTGTATATGCTTAGATTGAAGCTTTTAAGATCTCTCTAAGAGGGGGCCTCTCCTCTCATTCCTTACACACTCTGGCCTACACCCCTGTTCTTCTCTGCATATAAATAATTAAATCTTTAAAATAATAGAATTGTCCTATGTGGAAACACCATCAGTTTGTTAATGAACCTACAGGTAAAATGGTAGCGTCTTCCTTTATGCAGCTGTTCCTGTCTTTCAGTATTTCCAGATATCCAAATATTCCTATGCTAACAGTATTTTTTGTGTGTGTGCATTAATCTTTGTATGTGAATACTAAACAGTTATTGAAATTTATGATTACACGAATTTTAGAGTTCAGATAGATGCATTTTTTGGGTCTGCTTATACTGCTCTTCTCAACTTTATTCAATAAAGTTAAATTTTGAAGATTGCATTGGTAATGTTAACTTCATAATGTATATCATGATAGATGTTCCTGACTTATCTGATGAGCATAGAAAGGCAATTTTGTGGGGAGGAGAACCCGTAGGGGGTGTGTTAGAACAAAACCAGTTTAGCCTCCTAACACGTGGATCTGTGGGCTGGTTGAAATAGAAACTTTTTTTTTTCAGTTAGGAGGCTTACCAAATCTTCTCAGTAATACTTACAGAGAGCCACTCTGAATTTTTCTTTATCACTTTTATTTGCATTTATATATACTGAATTTATGCCCAGGCCATTCATTAGTTTCTTCTGGGAATTTTTCTGTGCAACCTCAGAGCAACAATATTCTATTGAAAGTTATTTGCCTCTGTTTCCATAAAAGAAGGTTCATTTCTAAGTTGGCCTATATATAAATTCACTAACATTGTACAGAGAAAATAACATTATGCTGGAAAACAAGACATTGAACTGGCTCCAGTGGGACATTCAGGCAAGTACTGAAATAATGTATTATATTTGCATATATCCAGTTTCTTTTGACAAATAAAGATATATTATATAATATCATTTTTTTAGAAATACTTTTCATGCTAGGGGAGGCATCAAGACATTTTGAAAAGCATGACTTTAACAAACATAACTGGGCAGTTATCACATCTGTAAAGTTGTTGAGGTTCACACTGAAGAAAAGGAAGCCAACATCAAATATATTTTTTAAAAAGATTTATTTATTTATGCATACAAAACTGGGGTAAAGGCCAGAGATGCTGGGTATGTGTGTGTGTGTGTGTGTGTGTGTGTGTGTGTGTGTGTGTGTGTGAGAGAGAGAGAGAGAGAAAGAGAAAGAGAGAGAGGATTTACCAGAGACTGAGTGGGGAGCAGAACAGGCAGATATACTTAAATGCACTGCTGAGGGGAGCAGCAGGAGGGTCAGGAGAGGTCTGCTGTGCCATAGGGGTCACCTCCCTGGCCGGGGAGCGAAGTAATGCTGCAGTGGCTGTGATAGCTTCATAGTGCTCTGCTTTAACCTGTTGCACCACCAGGGAAGGCCCATGAACATCAAATATTTAATCATAATAAAAGATACTCTTCTAGATACTCAGGAATGTCAGTCTATAGTAACTTAATTAATTTCCATATTTCATAAAAAATTTTTAAACATAATTAAAATTCATGATATTTGATTTTATAAGCCTCATAACCATCAGAGAAGTCTTGTGGAAACATGGACTTACCCCTAAATTACAGATATCAACACTATAATACAAAAAAAAAAAAAGATTTATAGACACATTGAGAGTGACATGTGACAGATCCTAATTTAACTTTCTGATTTCCACTATGGTTATTGAGTTACATGGCTTATCCCATCTATTAATAGACATAAATAAACTCAGCAGCATGCTATAAAAACTTCATCTTTGGAGTCAATGAAAACCTGTATTATGATTTTTGAAAAATGCTCATGGGTTCAAATTTCAGCTATATAATTTTTATTGTACTTGTGAGTTTTGTTTGAAATTACTGAATTTGCCCAACCTCAATTTTCCACCTGCAAGAGGGAATAAAATAAGAATCTTGCAGCTGGGCCATGATACATTCTTCTTGCATTTGTTAAATTGCAAGTAGCTCCCTAGTGTCCTCCTAACTGGCTGATTATTTGTAACCATTTGAATCAAGAAGCCTCTGAGCAAACACATACAGATGTTGGCGGCAGAGCCACAGGTGCCTGTAGAGGGGGCTCACATGGGACTTTTTAAAGTTTATTGACAAAGTACTTTAGATGTTGGTAAATAAAATTCTGTCTAGAATTAAATTTCAGTGCTTTATCAAAGTAGCCGCTTTGGTACTGTTTATTTATTTACGAATGCATGCCTGAGAGCATGCTTTTCTAATGTTTATTGTATTCTTTTGTCTTTCACATTTTGTTTATTAAGGTAAAGTATGTTTATGCCATTGTGTCTGCTTCGGACTTATAGGTTCAATCCTCTACAAATGTGTATTTTCACTCTCTGTCCATCACTAGTGCCCAAATAATCCCCCCCCCATGTTCCACAAGGCCCATTCTTCCCCCACTCCCACCCTGCCTCTCTATCCCCCAGCCCAGTTGCCTTAGTTTCTGAATAATATGTTAAAAGAATATAGAGAGGGGACCTTCCTGGGGGCGTAGTGGGTTAAAGCACCGCACCACCAAGCTAAAGCCCCTTCACCACGAGTTTGATTCCCAGCCAGGGAGCTAATCCACATGGAGCAGCAGACCTCCTCTAACCCCCCACCCCCAGCAGAGTATCACAGTCAATATACCTGTTCTGCTCCCCACTCTGTCTCTGGTGAATCTCCTCACTGCCCTTGCAGCCCTGGCCTATACCCCAGTTCTGTATGCATAAATGAATAAATAATTTTTTTTAAAAAAAGGGTACAGAGAAACAGAACAAAGTTTCAGTCAAAACTTAGATACTTTGAATGTGATATGCTTTCTGTCTTGTCAGTTCTTTAAACATGATTTCTAACCACCACATTTCTAGGTGCCGTCTCCCCATCAAGAGCAAGGATGCCTCCCAGTTGGTTTGTCCTGTGGTACTGAGGAGGGCCCTGTGTGGGACAGAAGGCGACACGTGCAGATGTAGCGCTTACAGCATCCCTGAAGTGACAGACCTGGAGTACGACTACCTAATAAGCACCTTGTTGTCCTCGGTGGATCAGATCATTATTGTCTATGTGTTCTCGGCGAAGGAAAGGGGCAAGGATATAAAAGAAGTGACCAAAGTGTACAGGGAACTGAATAGAACTAGAAGCATGCCTTGCCCCCAGGTGAGTGTCATGTAGATGAAAACGAATTGTAGAGTGCATTTACATGTATGTTACAGCTTAAGACATTTCCTCGGCCTCATAAAGAATTCCCACACAGACACATTTTAATTTTCAAAAGACTCTTTCATAGCTGATTCTGCATGTGAGTCCATTGAGCACAGGCTCATAGCGGAGACACAGGGAAGTGAGTCACTGGTCCAAGGCGACTCAATGAGGAAGTGGTGGGGTGGCGTTTGAGACAGGGCAGTCTTACTCCAGGATGCTTGCTCTTAAGCACCCTATGCTATATACATAGCCATGTGAAGCAGGAAAATCAGTGACTAAGGGGGGTAAGGGAGGAATCAAATGAGGTGAGTGGATTGGGATGGGAATGGTTCATATTCAGCACTTCAGAAACATGGCTTATGCACACGGGGGCAAGTGACATAGAAGGGGTTACATATCTCAGCAAGAATTGCAAGGGCCAGTGCAGATGATAAAAGGGACCTTGACTGACTCTTTTACTAATGAGGAATTATGCAGAATCATGTAAAAAAGGAAAAATGTTAAAGAAAAAAGAAAGGAAAATAAAAACTTACCAACCTCCCCCCCCCCAAATAAAATCAGGAAATATGCCAAAATGCTAGTGATAACTAGATAATCATTCCAGGAAGTATTTTTGAAACAAATACCTATATATTCATTAATGTAGATAATATTTACTGAGCTCCTACAACATGCTAGAGAGCCTGAAGGAACTGGAGGCTAAAACAAAATGAATTAGACTATGATCATTTCTCAAGGAAAAGAAAATCCAGAGAACATACATTTGACATGCGTGTTGGATCAGAAGTATGAACAGAGCAGCTGGGCAAGAAGAGGCTTGTAGGGTTTAGTAAGAATTAACAGGGTGGAGAGCAATTCCTCCAAACTCCATTTTGGCAGGCATGTTGGAAAATTGCCTGCTGGGAGGCTTAGGGATACATGATAATAGGATGAATCTGGGAGATGAGGGTTGGGGGTGCATGTTGAGGGAGCGGCAGTGAGAGAGGTTAATGGTAGTCTGAGAGATTTGATAAGGTATATCAACTCTCTTTAAAAGTAAAAGGATTCATAAACAAATTTCTGACTCAACAACAACAAACCCACAGGAAAAAATGCCAGAGAATCTAAATAGATACTTCTGCAAAGAGATATAAATGGCCAATAGGAACATGAAAAATCATCATGATAATGAGATATGGGCCCCTCCCTGGTGGCTCAGTGGGTTAAAGGATAGTACTATGAAGGTATCATAGCCACTGTAGCTGGATTTCGATCCCCAGCCAGGGGAGCAACCCACATGGCATGGCAGACCTCTCCTACCCACCTGCTGCTCCCCTCAGCAGTGTACTTCATGGATCTGCCTGTTCTGCTCCCTGCTCTGTCTCTGGTGAGTCCTCTTACCCCCCACAAACCTCTGGCCTGTACCCCCATTCTGCATGTATAAATAAATAAATCTTGAGAAAAAAAAAAGAGATATCACAACTATGAGAATGACTATTATCCAAAAGACAAAAACGTGTTGCCGAGGATATATAGAAAAGGGAACTGTTGTGAATGTAAATTGATACAAACATTATAGAAAGTAGCATAGAGGGCCTCCCTAGTGGCACAAGGGGTTAAGCCTCAGCACTATGAATCTATCTGCAGCCACTGTAGCAGGAGTTCAATCCCCAGCCAGGGAGCTGACCCACATCGTGCATCGGACCTCTCCTGACCCACCCTCTACTACCCTCAGCAGTGTATTTCAGTCCATCTGCCTGTTCTGCTCCCTACCCTGTCTCTGGTGAATCATCCACTCTCCAGATCTCTGGCCTCCACCCTAGCTCTTGCATGCATAAATCTTAAAAAAAAATAAAATTTACCCAGTATGATATCAGTCAAAGGTTAAGAAAGGGCCATCTCACCAAATGCCCAAAAGTAGATGCCTGGATTAAAAAGATGTACATATCCACAATGGAATATTACTCAGCAACCAAAAAAAAAATAATAAACACATTGTCTCTTGCAGCAACATAGATGGAGCTGGAAAAGATCATGCTTAGTGAGATAAGCCAGAAAGAAAAAGAAAAATACCAGATGGTTTCGCTCATAGCAGGAGTATAATGGACCAGGCGAGAAAATAATGATAATGATGAACAGCCATATAGCAGAGACATTTTATAGGGGTAGACTGGGGAATGGGATCAAAAACAGTGGGGGGAGGGAAGTGCGCTGGACTGTGGTGATGGCACATGGGTGACTTGGTGATGGTAAACCCACGGGGTCTAAGATGAAAAAAAAAATGTACAGAATGATGTATTATGTTACTTAAAAAAAATAAAGGACCAGCTCAGATTCAAGGGGAATGGAAACAGACCCCCATCAATTTGTGGGTAGAGTAGTAAAGACCTGATAGCCACCCTTACTCCACTCCGAGACTGTTTGAAGACAAAGATGAAAATTTCAGATTGGACAGGCTGAGTTGGAGATACTTGTGTAACTTTGGAGTGAAGACAGTCAAGAAGTAGGCAATTCAGTTCTCAGGTCTAGACCTCAGAGGAGAGCACCAGCTTTGGGAGACGTTTGGCAGACAGAAATATGAGTGGAAGGTGGGGGTTATTCAAGTGTGAAGAGAACCACTGGCAGGAAGGAAGATGGGAGGTTTCAGAACAACAGATATGTAGAAGTCAAGTAGAGGGACAGTTGTGCATGGCAGAATCTAGAAGAGAACTAGGACATCAGAAGAGAGTGAGACCACAGAAGCCCAGAAGAGAGTTTGAAAAGGAGGAGCCATTGAATAATTTTCAAATGCCATAAAGCAGCCAAGTGCTACGAGAAACTTCCAACTATCCCCAGGCTTTGGCGATAAGGGTTTGGTGAGTTTACAAAGGCACTTCTGATGGGGTGACAGAAGTAGACTCAAGAATTTTTGGTTCCATTCTAAACACTGTTGAATGGAGGAAAAGAGTCATTACCTGTGATTTAATGTCTTTACAATATTTTCTTTCTTTCTTTTAAAGAGTCGCTCGGATTCCTTTCGCTTGCTCAAATACAGCATCATCTACGCATCTAAATTTACTGGCAACAAGTGTCCACTTCTGGTTCAAAGGCACAATGTCATTCCAGGGATATTTTTGGTATGTGCTTTGAGATATAGGACTCTTAACTGCTGGGTATGATTCTTGGATGATGTGAATATCACTCAAGAGTGCACAAAGCTAGAAGGAATACAGAAATACATCCAGTCACAACACCCCTTGGCTACAGGTCTTCCTAGAACTGCAGATTGGAACAGCTTATAACTGTTGGGTTATCTTTATGGTTACTCTAGAAAAGTTAAAAATTTCATTGTTTGCTACGGTGAAGAGAACAAATCATCCAAATCTCACCATATGAGATTATAAATATTAAAATTTCATTCTTGCCATTAAGAAATGTAAAACCTAATTGAGGGAGGGACAGATAATATACATTATTAGCCGACAAATAGAATAACCACCACGAGACAATCTCTATGGTAGAGAAAGCATGATCTTTGAAAGCAGACTTGAGTCCAAATTTTATTCTACTATTGCTGTGTATGATCTTGGACAAATATTAAGCCTCTCTCAGTCTGTTTTCTCCCTTACAAAGTGGGAAATGATAACTCTCAGGGAGCAATATAAATTATCCTCTACTTCTTCTTAGGCTGGATGTGTAATCAAAACAGCATCAAATGGGTTAGCGAGGGAAAAATCAATTCTGTAACACACATATGGAGAATTTACATTGTTGTAAATTCTGGAAGAATAGTGAAGTGGGCATTTATGCTGTATTTAGAGACCGGGGCATCAAGGAGAGAGAGGAGACTTCACACAGCGGACGAGAAAGGTGCTGTCTCAACTCTATTCTGAGAGTAAAGATTGAAAGTAAAGAGATTCTTAGAGAGGACATGTTCACTGATAAACCTGCAAAATAGATAATACTACCCAATCTACAGTCTTTCTCTAGGACATAAAAGAGGAACAGTAATTACTTCCATTAGATAAAGGGCAGAAACTTAGCACATAACATCTCTCCCTCAGCTAGGGAAGGGCCAAGCTCTTAGGCAAAGACTTAGGGAAGAAACATCCTAGCCTCAAAGGATTTCATTATTTCTAGTGCAAAATACTCTACATGCCAGAGTGGAGTGTCTGGGGACCAGTTCTGAAAATCCTGGAATGGTCTGATTTGGACACCTTCATAACCTACCCCAAATGTGAAAATTCAGTGAGATATGTACATAAAATGTTTGTCCTCATTCCTGGCACATCAGGAACACTTAATACGTGTGCACTCCCACCCATTTTTCAATTCAACGAATGGTTCATTTTATGTCTGTTCTGTGTAAGTATTGTATCAGTGCTGAGGACACACACACATGCCACAATCCCTCTAAAGGTCTGGAATGATCAGTCCGCCTGCAAGAGGAGAAAACTGGATTAGATTAGGCCTCTCAATCCTGGCTGATACCTTAGGCAAATGAAAAAATATTGATTCCTGGACCTTCCCGAAATTAAATTAGAATTTCTGTGGATGAGACCCAGCATTAATATTCTCTTTCCTCCAACTTTGTTATAACATCTCTCACATGTAGTATAAAATCATGCAGTGAGGTTAAGTGTACAGTGCCCATGATTTTTGACATGTATATATCCTGTGTGACCACTTTCACAATCAAGAAAGACATCACTGCCATCATCCCCACAAGTTTCCTTTAGCCTTTTTGCGGTCAGTCCTTCTGGCCTTATCCCCAGACAACTGATGGGCTTTGTCACTACCTGCTGGGTTTACCTGTAAAATTTCATCTAAAAAGATTCATAAAATAAATATTCTTTTGTCTGGTTATGTTAGGATATGACCTTTTTTAAATTTCCCTTCATAATTTTAATGAGAAGCATTGGGATGGATGATTTCTCAGGACCTTTTTAACTAAAACAAAACAAAACAAAACAAAAAAACCTGTGATTTCATCTGCTAGGCTAGAGGTCCTTTGTAAAAATTGCACTAAAGAATAATAAGACTCCTGTTATTGAATGTTAATGCCAATGCTAATATTTGTTGACATTTGTGTTAAATTATTCATCTGTATTTTCTTACTTAAATCCCACAGTGATCCAGGGGTTAGGTGTTAATATTACCCCTGAAAATAGCGACAGAAAATGAAACTTAGAGTACGTAATTTGTTCAAAGTCAAAGAGCTAGCATATGGTGGGGGTAGAACTCAAAGCCATATTTTCTCACAACTAATGGAAACGTTGCTTTTAACTAAGTTTTAATGAAAGTTAAACTTTGCTTAACATTCCAAGAGCTTCCATAGGTGAAGGTTCATCACTCCCAGTAGGTCAAAAGACGATTTAAAGATAGCGATTTATTTATTTATTTTAAAGATGTATTTATTTATGCATAGAAGGACTGGGGGTACAGGCCAGACTTGCAGGGAGTAAGAGAATTTACCAAAGACAGAGTGGGAAGCAGAACAGGAGATGAACTGAAACACACTGCTGAGGGGAACAGCGGCTGAGACAGGAGAGGTCTGCTGTGCCATGTGGGTCAGGTCCCTGGTGTCTGAGCAGGGAGTGCCTTCAAATCATTTTTAAAATGTAAAGTGATGCTAGATAAATACCTTCAGCTTGTTGAGGAATTATAACTGGGAAGAAGCAACAAATGTAAAGATACTTTAGCAAGAAAGGCCTCTTACTTTAATGTGAAAATAAATCAGCTTTTTACAAGTGTTAGAGGACAGTCTAGTTAAGAGAAAGGGACTCAGGAAAAATGAGATGAGGTAGAGGCTGCTCTGTTCATGTCTTCTGAGAAACACATAGAGAAAGCAAGAGTAGTTTCTTTTAACTGATTTAATTACAGTAAAGTGAATCACTTCCTCAGGTTTCAATCCACATGGGCACAAAAACATCTGTTCTCAGTTTTCAAAATGCACTGTCCCTGTGAACAATGAACAATTTGTCTTACTCTGCCCTAGGGAAGTCTTCCCACAGAACTGGCAGGTGATCAAATACCAGTCCTGCTCCCCACCTGGCTACTTGATCCTGGGAGTCTCGGCAGACATGCTTGGTTGGTTTATAATCCGTGCTTCCCATACATTTAGGAAGTTAAATTGGTGGTTAAACCCCCTACCTGATAGTTAAAACAATAAAATAGCACCAGCACAATCACAATCAAAATGTATGTCATCCCTCAGTTGTGTTTATTTGTGAGAGAAAACTGTTTTTTCCACACAGTTCCCTGTAAAAGAATAGTAATGACTACTGTGGCCATCTAAAACAAACAAGCTCCTATTCAAATCCTCGCTGTGTCTGGGCAGGAGCAAGGTGAGGTCTCAGCCCTCCTAGCTTTCTGTCCACTGGGTGACAGTGTTGCCCGTCTGAAGTAAATGGGCTTTGTCCCTGGGCTGGAGAACTCGGGAAGACCACAGCCAGATGGCGTCGAAGGGCAGAGGAGATCAGCTCTGCTTTCTTTCTGGCAGGTGGTTCTGTTTTCTTTATTTGGCAAGGAAAAATAGGATGTGAGGAATTCTGTTCTGATGTTACCATGTTCAGCCGAGTTTCCTTGGGCAAACTGGTACAGGAAGAGTGGATGTGATTGTCCATAATAAATTACATTTCATTTTCCTGATCATTGAAGGCAAAACACTTGCAAAGAGCCTTGTGAAAACTCAACTGACAACTCACTTCAGCTGTTTCCAGAGACGCACTGGGGTGGACTGACTCCTCCAGGGAGGTGTTCATTCTTATACAAACAGGCTAGTGCCTCATGCATTGGCCAGGGTACTGAAGAACAAGATAATCTTTGTGGAATGTTGTTTCCAAGTGACCAGGTCTTGGCTTTATGTTATTCTAGCCCTCTGACACAATCAGTGTCTTCCAGAGAAGAGATAAACAAGAACAAAAAATGTAGAAAGGATGGGATGAGTGGAAATGGCGGAGTTGTGTAATGATAATAGTAGAAGAGAGAATGATATATTTTCCCTTTTGAAAGGACAGAGAGAAAGTGAGCTGAGAGGTGTAATCTTTTGTTTTCCTTCACTGTCCCTTCCCCAAATGAAAAGACAAATGATTCAAATTATTGGGACTTGTCATTATCTACTGAGCAATAAAAACATGTTAATGTTTTTATTGTCCAAAAAATTTTTAAAAATATTTATTTATTTCTGCATACAGAACTGGGGTACAGGCCAGAGGGGCAGGGGCAGTGAGAGGATTCACCAGACACAGAGTGGGGAACAGAACAGGCAGACTGAGGAAGTTCACTGCTGAGGGAAGCAGTGGGTCAGGAGAGGTCTGCTGCGCCATGTGGTCACATCTGGGGCCGGGGATAGAACCTGCACAGAAGTGGCTGTGGCTTGCTTGCAGTGCTATGTCCTAACCCATGGCTCTACCAGGGAAGATCCTCCAAATTCTTTTTAACAGGGTTAAAAGACTAAAATAGAATTATTGATTTAAGAAATTACCCCACAAAATTTTTCCCCCCGTATTTAAAAGGCCTCCCCTCTCCTTTGCTTTATTTGCTATTATCTGGTCCAATCTATTAGTACTGATACATTAGCACATTATGTTTCATTACACTTAATAAAGGTTTTGGATTTTCTTAACAATTAAAGCTTTTTATATTTTAAATCACACTAACACTGAATTGGCAGTTTCTTAAGGATTACAAATGCTAACAGATTGCCTGTCAATAGAGATTTAATCTTCACTCTCTGAAACTCACACAAACATTGCTCTACAT